CATCATCAGCATCAGCATCATCATAAGCATCATCATAAGCATCATCATCATCATCATCATCATCATCATCATCATCATCATCGCCACAATCATCACCATCATCATCATCATCACCTTCATCATCAAACCCACCTTCATGTATTATTTGCATTTATAGAAATATACATTTATATATATATATATACATAGGATCACCACCTCTTTAGGGCTACTTTTCGGGGGGGAACCATACCAAAATGTAAGAAAATTGGTCGCTGAACGTCCCCCAGGTGCCGTTTTTGTGGGGAGGGTCTTCTAGAGCACACCACCACCGAAGGCTCCACCTTCGAAACCAAGGCCATCGACACCTCCTGCCAGAAAGGACTGGGTAATTCCTCGGGTGCCAAATGGGTATCTCTTCAGGACATCCTCAATGCCCGACCAAAGGAATTCAGAGTTCATCACGTCTGCTTGGATGGACGAACGGGACAACTTTCTGCTATCAATTGTCCAAGGCCCCGCAGCTGCGGCTGCCAGTACATCGGGATCAGCACCTTGGGCGCAGTATCTGAGAAGAGTGACTGCCTACGGCTGCATGGTCTTCGGAGTCTGCAATCCGGGGGTCGTGACTGAGGACACGGCATCCACGATTTCTGAGAAGGATTGGCTTAGATGCTATAGCCATATCGTCCGCAAATACATGTTGACGCGGGCTGGATGCTACCTGTCAACGGCGGGAATGCTGATGATGCTGGACACCATGACGTGAACATCGCCAATCAGTCCGAATTGGGACGAATCAAGAAGCTGATCACGAACCCGCTTGCATGCAGGATCATTGAAGCACCGAGCGGCCCAAGGGAGGTTGACAAGTTGGCCGGTGACTTCCGGGCTGGGACGACCATCCTCATCACTGATTTGATGTTCCGCGTGGGAACCCAACGTGGGCCGCATGGCATTCAAATGGGGTTAACTGACATGGGATGGGAGAGTGTTGAAGTCTTCAAGATCCATGATTCTGAGTTTGAACGACCACTTCAACAATTTCTCGATACGCTTGACAAGGTCAAGCAACATCTCAAAACGGATACCATCGATGATGGCCAGGTAACGGTTCATCTTTGGTTGTCATTGCAGTTCCTCCATGAACAAAAGCCACCCCACTGTGTAATGCTCGAGAATGATTTCAAGAATCAATTTGTCAAAGGGGTGATTGACCTTGATCAAGTCACATCCCGACCCTTGATGGTCGCCATCAACAACGACTCCATGTTCAACGGTGTGGACTCCGTCACGTCAAGAATCGCAGTTGAGCTGATCGAGAAGATGAGGCTCCAGGGGGTCTTAGTGACGTCCGACCAGAGAATGTGGCGGTCGATGTATTCCCAATATGGAAGACAGTTCTCAGTGTTGAACACGACCAAAAAGGGGACCCTGGGAAAGACAGCAATTTGGTCTGTCATCGAGAAGAACCTGTTTCGCCAAAGGGTTTTCCTCATGTGTGCCACGAACAGGGAGTATGTGTCCGTACTCAATGAAGGGGCATTCAAACCTGAGGAGTCCGGAATCGACACAAAGGTGTTGGAGGACATGACTGGCCCAACGGAGGTATTCAGAATCGCAAGTGGCGAAATGACCCCAGGCGACTACGCGACCGATGACACAACCATTTTCCAACGAGGCCCTGGAACTGCCACCAACAGATTCACGAAGGACAAGAGGTTTAAGACCCGATGGGTTGAACCAGTGGTCGGCACTCATGAACTAGAACCCGTTGTGTCAGATCGATGCATGTGGTTCTACATCGACAACGAGAGCTCTGACATCATGTGCGGCTCCTGCAGAGGGGCGGTAACGATGGACGAGATCGAAACATGCCAGCTGAGGCCGACCCACTGCATCAACTGCTCTGCAAGCACCCAAGATCACTACAAGCGCTCCGCTCCCACGTTGGAAGCCAGGAAATCCGTCTTGCTCCTAGCGGCCAGATTGAAGGTCGCATTTGAGGAGTGTGGCATCGACATGGTCGATATCAACCAAGGATTTCAGGCATGGCTCACTTTCACGGCATCTTCTTTGATTTCAAACACTTTATTGCCGTACGGGGAGCACTTGATGAAGTCTGTTTCGCACATGGGGGGAGTCAGGGTATCGAAGAGACAGGCTCTGGAGATCTTCCGGAATGGACGCGGCAAACAGTTCAGCATCTACCGCGAAAGAATCTATGATGAGGTCGCGAAGAAGTGGCTCCTGGCTTTCAGGGTCACGAAAGATTGCGGGAATGTCGCGTACAAGGACTTCTTCGAGCAGGTCGCTGTTCCTGAGGTGAAGGACAGGAACGAAATCTTCGGATTCTCCCGTGCATCAGCCGAGAAGACTGGGGACATCATCGAGTTTTGGCTTGGTGTCTTGGATGTGGCAAACATGGCAAAAGGGGTTGTGAATGTCTTCAATGCCAGCGTTGACCCTGCTGAATTCCTCAACGGCTTGGAGAAGGCATTGGCCCAATTCACATCAACTTCCAGAACTACAAGCACCATCAACGACAAGAGACGAGGCTCTTTCGACTGCACCCTGCAGACTGCAGAAGCCGAAAAGGTCATGAAGATCATCCACGCAATTCCCGGGTATGAAATGTTGAATGACTTCAACTGTCTCACAGAGTGGGAGAAAGATCAGGTCATCTCTCAGTTTCGAAGAAAGCACCATGTCACAGGGGACGACGCCAACATGGGCGCTGATGCTGATGCCAAGCCAAATACCTTCAAAATGTAAGCTTACATTTTCAAGGCCCCCTCAAAAACACCTTGAAAAATCTAGCTGACACTCTGGGTACGTCCCCCCACCTTAAAACGGTGGTGATTATATAGGTGGATGGATGGATGGATGGATGGATGGATGGGTGGATGGATGGATCGATACATG